TAGGTACACTCGCGCTTGATTCCGCGAATCAGAATGGGACTATTGATGTTATTGTAAAAGGCGATGATCAATGGAAGAATGTTGGTGATGTTAATGGATCAAATGGGCTTGTAAAGAAGAGTAAAGAATTGAATAGCAAGGAGGAGTTTTCAACGGGACTGATTGAAGCCAGGACTTGGTCTAATATGATCCAAGAAAAAATCCCCAAAGTTGTTCCAAGGACTCCGATTATGACACCACCTGGAGAGCCAGAAACTATCAATACTTGGGAATTGATGGAAGGGCTTGAAGATGTGATGAATCCTTGTTCATCTCATCGGTTTCGCAGTTTCTCTTTTGATATTTCTCGTGATCCAAGTCCAATATCTGATTGTCACAAAACTAATTTTCTGCAGAATGGCAACCTTTCTCCTGATAATATTAAGTCTGGGTGGCTTCAAGTTGTAGACGAGGATGCTACTTCCAAATGTCTGGAATTCGATCCTGAAGTCATCTCTACATTTAGAAAATCATTGGAAGAGCTCTCTCCCACACATCCATTTTACATTAAGCCAATTGATAGTGAAAGACAACCTCATCTTGACAGCGACGATTCTTCGTTGCCTGTGAATGATGCTACGGAGGTAGATTTTGTTGCAAAAGATTGTAAGCGCAGTAAGGATAAGTTAATTGTTTATTTTACAAGCTTGCGAGGGGTGCGCAAAACATACGAGGCTTGTTGCCATGTGAGGGTGATTTTAAAAAGCTTAGGAGTTCGTGTTGATGAACGAGATGTATCAATGCATTCAGGGTTCAAGGAAGAGTTGAGAGAGCTCATGAACGAAGGGTTTAGCGGGGGAGGGCTACCAAGAGTGTTTATTGGGAGAAAATACGTTGGCGGAGCAGAGGAAATTCGGCGAATGCACGAGGAAGGTCTGCTAGAGAAAATGGTTGAAGGGTGTGAAATGTTGGATGATGGTGGTGGAGGTGGAGTTGGAGGGGCTTGTGAGGCTTGTGGGGATATCAGGTTTGTGCCTTGTGAGACATGTTCAGGGAGTTGTAAGATATATTGTGAAGGTGACGATGAAGAACTAGAAGAGTTAGAAGAAAGTGAAGAGAGTAATGAATATGGGTTTCAACGTTGCCCTGATTGCAATGAGAATGGACTTATACGCTGCCCCAGTTGCTGTGACTAGTTTTGATCGATGGGTGATCAGGATTTTTGTTTCTCCTATCTTTTTTCGTTCTGGGTTTTTCCTTGAAAGTTGTTTGTTGTACAGTGGTTTGTTTTTGGTACGTTTGAAGTGAGGTTCATACTGAAAAATGCAATAGAGAAATTGGGAATAAGGTATTCTACAAGCATGTTCATCAGAGAATCCTCAGTCAGTCATGTATTCTGATGTTTGGATACTTACTTTGTGTGTGTTACGGAGAAAAATTATATTGTAATACTTCCTTTTTTTCCTTGATAGGAAGTTCAGGATACTTATAAAGAGTAATATTTTCACGTTCTTCCTCTTATGCTCTCCTAATTTATATCAAGATCTTCTCTTTCGGAGCTTATTGAAGTGCTTGCTTTAGCTATAATTTTGAATTTTATGTGCTTCTCTTCTAGGGTTTTCCCAGTGTAATGAGAGCTCTGGTAACTCTTCTGTTGAAGACAATCATTTCTTAGCAAACATTATTAGGACTCTTTACCTAGGTCCCAAAATGCAAGTATCCATGTGATCATTACATTTGCACTCAATTGTGAGCGACTTTGGAAGCAAAATTATGGCATCTCAATAGTGGATTAAGTACAAGAATATGATATTAGTTGTGATTTAAAATATTTTTTATTTAAAAACATATTAAAATAATATTTTATATTTGGTTAAAATTATGTTTTTCATCTATATATCAAAATAATTTAAAAATATAATAAATTTATTTTAAACTAAAAAAACTTAAAAATTTTAGAAATGTAGTTTGTATTGTATTTCCAAACACACCCTAAATAACTTAAATATTCATTAATGTTTTTTTTAAATGATGATCACGCTTCAATTTTTTTGTTGATGCAATAGGAATTAGGATATGTTTCTTTTTGTATTTTAAGAATGTTTTTGAAAAAAATTAAATTTTTTTATTTTTAATTAATATTTATTTAGTATTTTCACTATTAAGAGTACGGTATAGCTGTGGTTAAAAATATTTTTTATTTAAAAATATAAATAAAAATTAAAATATTATTTTAATATATTTTCAAACAAAAAATATTTTAAAAAATAATTCATTTTAGTAATAAATTTTTATTGAGATATGGAATATATTAATCTCAATAAAACATATTTAAAAATAATTCCCACCTAAATAACTTAAATGTTCATTATGTTTTTTTAAGCATCATATTCCCACCTAGATAACTTAAATGTTCATTATGTTTTTTTAAGATGATGATCTTGCTTCAATTTTTTCTTGTTGATATAATAGGAATTAGAATATGTTTATTTTTGTATTTCAAGAATATTTTTGAAAAAAATAATTTTTTTATTTTTAATTAATATTTATTTAGTATCTTCATATTATTTTAATATGTTATATTAAAAATAATTTTTTTAAAATATTTTTTTAATAATTTTTTAAACAAAAAATATTTTAAAAAATAACTACCCACTTTTATAATAAATTTTTTTTCAGCTATAAAATATATTAATCTCAGTAGAATGAAGCCGCGTGAATTGTTAATTGTTGCGTTTTCTATATAATAACAAGGTAGGTGAAGATGTATGGGTGGTCGGAGTTAGGGCAGGTTCCCTTAAGAAGAGGGACAAGGTCAATGCTGTTTGTTTGGACTAATGAGGTCCAAGAGAAGGGCAAGTAGTGGTTGGCCTCACAGTCCTTCCAAAGTTTCAACTTCTATTCTTTAATAAATGAGCAATTCCTTTGAAATAAACGCAATCGAAGAAAAGCCACCTTGTTCTTACTTATGAACACGACCGCAATTCCCAGAATATTTCTTTCATTAGTGGCCTTATTTACTCAGTTTACAATAAATAACTTTGTCTGAACCTTTCTTGTTTTAGTTTATTAATAAGATAAAAAAAAAGCTTGGAGGTAACTGACTATCCAGAGACCATAAAAAATTGTAACAGAAATTGACTCGTTCCATCAAAGATTCTGTTATAAAATTCTTCCCATATCATTTGCGGAGGTAGGCCACTAGATGCATAGCCTGCGGCGCCAGGTCCCATAAGTTATTCAACCTTTGATTTGAATTGTGTTAGGATGGTAGAGATTGAATTTTTTATTATTTTTAAGATTATTTTGATATAAAAATAATTTTAAAAAAATAAAAAATATTATTTTAATATATTTATCAATAAAAAAACAAACAGCAGTTCTCGAACTCTTAAACTAAAGGTATATTATGATTATATTCATGCAATGCCGAATGGAGATTTCATAAAAAGACACATGAATAGAACAACATAAATCAGCCGAAGGTTTCCAAATAGCCTTCTGTACCTGCTCATCATCTCATTTCAAATCCTGTCGCTGAATCCAAGTTCATAAGTATCCCTTACAGTCCAGCCACAAAATCACAACACTGGCTACATGACACAGATCTGTCTAATCAAGTTGACTTCAGTTTGGGTGGTCACGGGCAAAGGGCAATCAGTGAGCAAAAGAAACACAAGTAGAGAACAAACTACTACTTATCAGCTACCTGTGCCATAAATGTTCGTCAAAACAATTCCATCAAGTTGAGGCTAAAGGCAACAAATGCACGATGTGTTGAAACGTTTTGAACAAGGCTCTATAATCCCACTGATCCATATAATAATTGGTCATGGTTCTGCTTGTCTTATTGTGAGAAACAAGGGCCCTTGCGTAAGATTTCTCTATCCATAATCACACAATTATTGGGTTCGGAAAGTGGTTAAAGTGATGCAAAATGTATAGCTTAATTACATAAAGTATTTTATAGGTGGCATTTTGGAAGATGATTCATGCTTTTTTAGGGCAAGTTTCGCAAAACGAGGCATTAATGATGGATGGTAGAAGATAAGGGTTGCTTCTTGAGGCACAATTTTTGGCGGATTAAAGGAGCTATTAGGCTGTGAGGACTAAAGAGAGGCATAGTGGGTCTGCGTTTTCGTAGGGTAAAGAACGACATCATTAAGAGGCTGGCAGACAAGAAAACGCAATCAGAAAGATCAGAAATTAGTTAATGCGTAACCAAAGACTAGAAAAGTAGGCATTATAATTCACAAACGTCAAGAAGCCAAGTAGCCAACCCTCCTCCGATGTGCTCATAAGACGGTCGCAATACAAAGAACTGATGTTGAAATACTTGGCAGCCAAGATCCAACATTCATGGATGTTAGTGGCAGTCAATTGTATAGAGAAACTTATTTTCCGGTATGCTTGCCTTGCAAGACCAGTCCTGGGCGTCGAATGCTCAAAACTTTTGCTGACCGACCAGCATAAATGATGGTTCAGCTTTGTGGTCCTCGGAAAGGAACCAGATTGCTAGAATATTAGAATCCATGTGCAAACAATGTTTTTTAAAAAATTAATTTTTTATATATATTTAAAATTATTTTGATATAATAATCTTAAAAATAATTTTTAAAAAATAAAAAAAATATTATTTTGATATATTTTAACATAAAATTTTTTAAATAAAATAACTACATCCACACTTTGAAATAAACACTCCATCATCACACAATCACGAACAGTTACAACAAGCATATAGCAACGAAGGTCGATTATTCAAGAGATTTGACAATTCATTTGTCAAGGAGCTGTATTCAGAACTTGCAAGCTGTAAAACGCACCGTCACATAGCTGCCAACCATAAGAATCCAAGAGAATCGATCTGCATCCTACCGCTTAGTTTCCATTTACACATGTAAAGACTTTCAGTGAATAAGATGTATCAACAGCTGCCCAACTAAACCATGCAGTTGAAGAATTGTGATATCAACCACCATAATTAAAATAATTAAAAAAAACCAACAACTGAAAATGTTAGGTATAGACATCAATGATCCATTAGATGTATCTTGAGCCTTATGTCCAGAACTGCGCAAAGTCCTGGGCATTGAACTCCAGTAGCTAAAATACAACTTTTAAGCTTCACATGTCAAAAGGCCAAAAACACATACTGCTCCCTTAGCATAGTAGCTAAAAAACAACTTCTAAGCTTCACATGTCAATAGGGCCAAGAACACAAAGTACTCCCTTCGCATAGTAGCTGCTATTCGTTAAAGCATTAGAAGCTAATCCGTGTAAGAGTAGCTGAATCTAAAAAGACTTATATTTATTTTTATACAAGAACAGAAGTAAAAGACCCTTGCTGCTGTTTGAAAGAAAAACCTCACTCATGTGCTAGCCTTCTTGCCCAAATCAGCTGCAGCTTCGGCTGCCTGTGTCAAAACACCAGAAACCCAAAGAGCTCCCTTAGCAAAGTAGGGGCTGTTGACTACAGCATTAGCAGCTGATATGGTGAATTCTGAAACATGGTACTTCTCATCCACACATTTCACAGTTTCCATTCCTGCAAAAATCTTGTCAGCGAGCCCGATTCTATTGCTTAGCTCTGACACCTTGGCAGCTGCGGTAGCCAAGACTTGATGAGATTCGTCAAAAGCTTTGGCCTTGACCATTGCATCTTTTCCCAAAATGTATCCCTTGGATAACATTGTTTTAACAACTTCCTGAGCAACAGTTACTGCTTCTCCAGGAGTAGAAACAAACTGGTTGAAGGGAATTCCCTGCCAAGAATGTAGAAGAGTTGGTTCAAAAGGGAAGGTACGCTAATAGAAAACTATGAGGTACCGTGTCATTTCACTTGCTATGAACAATTATTAAGCAGGGTGCAATGCTCACAATCAGTGTTAAAAATAATAGATAGTGCATCCAAGGAAGAGCATGCTGTACAGCATGGTGGCATCCAATTCCAAAACTATGCACCCAATTCAGGACTTCTTAGATACAAGGGTATCATGACCCATATAAAGATGTGATTTGGCTTGGTTGCATCATTGAGATGCACTTCAACCCGTTCACTTGTATGATAAACATCAATTGTTTTATTAAATCACCCAGTCGGGTTGCTTATATTGTCAATTAGTATCTATCGTATTGTCTTCGTAACTTGCAGGTATGTTTTAACTGGACATTGACCAAAACATGCTTGTTGAACTCTGGATGTATCGAGTGTTGATACATCCAAAACATAGTATTGTACCTTTGATTTTCTGTCCAATAGGTTGCAAGAGGAAACAGCTATCCTTTACCTCTTATTGAGTTTTTGAAGAAATATTTCAAATTTCGAGATTACATAAATTTTACCACACTCAACTTAAACCGATGAGCTTAAGAATTTGTAAACTTGCATACAAAATAAATGGGATAGTAAAAAGAGCACTCAGCATGCTACCACAAGTAAAGATATTACCGCTGAGCTGGTGTTTCCTTCATCCTTTGATGAACTGCCCCAAGCATCAAATTCATCCACAAAAGTTCCCCAGTGTGTTATGCAAACACGTTGATCTACAATGGTGGCTCCCTAAAACATAAAATTAGAGAAAAATAAATCTATTAACCACTAAGAAAATTTCAGATAGCTAGGCCAAAGAACCAAGTAGGTGATCATGATGGCTATTGGATCATTCAGCTGAAAGCTGAAGTTCGATACAATACGAAAAGAAAAAAGAAATTCATTCAAGTTTATTATGTAGCTAAAAGGTAGCCTTCAAAATGAATTTCTCAGAAAAGGAAAACTAACGATCAATTTGCCATCAGTAAGCATGTGAAATCATTAGCTGATTTCCTAATGATGATCGCATAAACAACAATTAAAAGAGAAATTATAAACAGTTCAAGTGATTAAAATATAGAGGTAATCCAAAAACGTTTTCTTAAGAGGTAATGATGAACTTCTAGTTCAATGGTCATTCCGATTTATGATTCCACATACGGTCATACTTTGAAGCAGAAAAAAAAAATCTTTATCACAATAATAGCAGAGGAAAATTGAATTTTCCATCTTGATGTCTTAGAAAGTAAATTGATGAGGAAAATAGCTATGAGGGTAGGTTAAACAAAATGGCTCACAAACTTTTTTTTTTTTCCCCCAACTATATCAAGTAACTAACTATATCAAGTAAATATTTTTATTGCCAGGAGTGAGAGCAGAAACTTGCACTGAGCAGGATAGCAGTTTGAAGACCGTAGGCATCTTTAAATGTTACGTATGCAGTACAAGCATATTCACCAGATCTGTTTTCAGAGTAAGCATTCCTCAAGTCAAATACAGTTTATGACCATGGAAAAATAACAATGAATAGATGTGTGTGATTTGATTGTGCAAACATAATGCAGGCTCCAGAACCGAAAGCAGCTAGGCAAGTGTACAACAATCGAAGAAACATAGGGATAGCATTCAACACTGGCCTATCAACACTCTTTGATTCATCTCTTGATATGTGCAAGTTCCTGTTATTTGTAATTGTTACCAGAACATAATGTTGACACCTCATCAAATGCCTGCCTCTTTTCCATAATATTTTATACTTAAATATAGAAAAATAAGTGAGCAACTAAGAATACCCTACATGATTGTAGATAGTAATGTTCAACCTCATATTTTGTGAGAAAAAGCGTGGGAAAATACATTCCTAATTTATCAGATGAATAAAGAAAGGCAGAGGAACGATTACCAAATAATGGAAATTGACAATACCGAATAAATAAAGAAATGCAGAGGAATGAATACTGAATAATGGAAAAGCTTTTATGAGAAACACATGAAGAATTCAAACCTTAGTTTCAATTTTTGTTCAAGAAGCACTTCAATTTCAGAGACTGCATTAGAGTTCTTTAAACATACCAATCTTGGTTCAATGGAAAGGACAATTATTGGAATCCTCCAGCAAAAGAATTGCAATTATTTTAGGGATGGAGTTAGACTCCAAACATGTCATAAATTAATATTATCAATCTATCTATCACAATCACTGATTCCCACATAGTTGAAAGGGAAAAACATATGCATTTCATTTTTTGGCCTTTTACAAAAGAAGCATTCACTAATCAGTTTTTCAAGTATATAGTGGCATAAATATACTGATGATTTGTAAATATACTCTGATGGAAATTTCTCTTAGGAGTAAATTCATAATTTGCAAGCAAGAAGCTCAGTTGACGCATATTACCTGATGATTTCAACATGCTCAATAGCACCACAGTGAGAAAAAAATTCGTACACATCCTTCTCTTCTGCTTTAGGAGATAAGCTTGTAACCTCAGCAGTGTAACCACCAGGATACATGGTGAAGTTTTACAATGTGCACGCTAGATATAAGCTGACCTGATTGAGGAGGTATATATATAAAATCTTAGCAGCATATTCTAACACGGCCAATTTTTGTTTCTAGAAATCATCATTTCAACACCTTATAGAGATAGTGCAATTATATACACAGAAAAGGCAAGTTTTTAAAGGATAGTTAAGATAAGAAAAATGTCAGAATAAGACAATATGCATTATCATTTCCATGCAGCCTAGCCATATCTTGCAATCCTAAGGTCCATAACCTCCAGCGGTCCCTCCCTCACATCCCCCTCATAGTACAACAAAAAATCATTAGATGCTCTTCCTTGAACTGTTAACATGAATTTCTATAATAGATTAGTCTATAGTCATGCATAAATCTTCAAATCTTCAAAACATATTTCCAAGGTAAAGAACAATTAAAGAAACGCCCATATTACCAGGCTATATAATAAGTGGAAATAACCCATGAAAAGAATTGATCAACATGCATTTCTTGATACTTGGGGGATTATTTGTAATCACAAAAAGAAGACAACAATTAATTAATTCATCAGAAAACATCAAAAAAATAATGAACTCGATATTTATGTGTAATCAGAAAGAATCAAGTGATTACCAAAAAAATGAAAATAAAAATATTGGATTAGGTTTGCATACCTGAGATGATTAGCTAGTTAACCAGGGAGAGAGAAATTAATCGCAGAGCAAGAGGTAGAGGTAACCGAGTAACTAACGTCTAGAAGTAGCTTATAAGTGCCAACCGATAGAGTTATAATCAAGCTAACCAACACCACGTGTGATGTTAGATACTTTTAGTTAAATGGTTAATGAGGTGGTTAATATTACTGGGCTGTATTAGACATGGGCCGGACTCCATATTTTGTATTTAATGTGTGTCGATCGTGTTTCGTGTCTGTTAGACGTTGGATAAAATAGAAAATCTCTGACTGCGCATGCCGCGGAATTATGTAATAAATGTGCTATATAATATTATAATTACAAATAAATACTATATAAATAATAGAAAATAAATATATAATGGAGCCAATGTTATGATATGAAAAAAATTATATTGATAATTAAAAATTTATAAACTGAATAGAATGATTTATAGTAATGTATAATATTTTATGAGAAAAAATATAGTATTTTCTCTATATTATTTATCTTTTTACTATATGATTTAATTTTTTATTAATAAAAAATTATAAAGCTAAATTCTTTATCGAATCAATATTAAAAAAATCAACAAAAATTTAAAAAAATCATAAAAAAAGCTCATATAGAAAAACATTATAGCAATCTATAATGTTTTGTAATTAAAACTATAATGTTATCCTTACATGATTTAGTCTTATTGTAATTGTAATTCTCAAGTAATTTAATATTAAAACAATAAAATCAATAAAGATAATTTTATAAAAAAATATAATAAAAAAAACAAAAAAATATAGGGGAACACGACAGAATCCAAAATGTTTTAAAGAAAAATAAATTACAAATCTAAATTCTCACACAACTCAATATTAAGAAAATAAAATCAACAAAAATAATTTAAAAAACAAACTTAACAAAAAAAAATATATGGTGAAACACTATAGTAATTTACAGTAATTTGTGAGGAAAGGTGTAATGTTTTCTCCATATATTGTAACTGTAATTGTAATTCTCAACCAATTTAATATTAAAAAATAAAATCAATAAAAATAATCTTGAAAAAAATCATAACAAAAAAAAACACAAAAAAAGGAGGGAAAAAACCTTGTTGGGAAATACTATAGCAATTCATAGTGTTTTATGTAAGAAGTTACAGTGCTTTCCCCACATAATTTAACCTTATATGTAATTGTAATTCACAACCATGTTAAAATTATAAAAAATAAAATTAAAAAAGATAATTTAAAAAAATCATAACAAAAAAAGGAAAAAATCACATGGTAAAACACTATAGGAATCCAAAGTGTTTTGTAAAGAAAACTATAATACTTATCTCACATGATTTAGCTTTACTTATAATTTCTTATAATTATAATTTTTGACCAGCTTAATATTAAAAAAAATAAAATCAACAGAAATAATTTGAAAAAAAAACTTAACTAATAAAAAATATTGTGAGAAACACTATAGCAATCCACAATAATTTGTGAGGAAAGCTACCATGTTTTCCATACATATTATAATTATAATTCTCAACCAGTTTAATATTAGAAAATACAATTGACAAAAATAATTTTAAAAAAATCATAAAAAACAAAAACAATCATATAGGAAAATACTGTAGCAATTCACAAAGTTTTGTGAGAAAAAATATAGTTGTAATTTTCAATTAACTCAATATTAAAAAAATAAAATCGACAAATAATTTTGAAAAAAATTATAACAAAAAAAACTATGTTAGGAAACGTTGTAGCAATTCACAATGTTTTTTTTTAAAAAAAAAAAGGCTACAATTGTAATTCTCAACTAACTCACTGTTAAAAAAAATAAAATCACAAACAATTTTGAAAAAAAATCATAAAAAAAATTATATGAAAAAACGTTGTAGCAATTTATAGTGTTTTAAAGAAAAAGAATTATAAAATTAAATTCTTAACCAACTTAATATTAAAAAAATAAAATTAACAAAGGAAATTTTAGGAAAAAAACTAAAAACAAATGAAAAAAAGAATAAAAATTAGGAAAAATAAAAAAACCAAAACACAAAAAAAATAAAAATAAAAATATTATAGCAATTTACAGTAACATGTGTGAAAATCTAGAGTGTTTTCCCCACATGTTTTAACTATATAATAATTGTAAATCTTATCAAATATTTTTAGTGTAGATTATTATATATTTTAATCTAAAAATTTGATTTATTTTGTTTCATGAATAAATATTTTTTTAATTATTAGTATTTATTTAAATAAAAACCATAATTATTTTTTTATGTTAATTAACACCTTATTTCAGTAATTAACTAACTTGCATACCCTTGTAATTGCTTTAAATTAAATTATGTTTAAATTGTTGAAATTAATTAATTTAAAGATTTTTAATATTTTAATTCATTTTACTTTTCAATATTAGTTATTGCTCGTCTGCATTTATAATGACATATGGTTAATAATGTCACGCATTTTTATAAATTGTTTCATATATATATATATCTTCAATCCTCTAATAACATCTTGAACAAGCAAGTGAAATAACAGATAAAGAGATCGTAGTCCAAATTTAAAACAAGTTATTTTACATGTTTTGGGCTTATGAGATAAAACTAACAGTATATATTTCATGATATCTAAAAACATTGCAAATTATCCTCCAAAGAAATTCAGTATCACAATGTAATAGCTTACAACTCAGTACAAAGGAAACGCAACGTGGAAGTGAATGGTTTCATTTTCACAGACTCAGCTGCTACAACAGCAATGGGGCGCTCTACGCATAATCAATAATACAGCTTCACTAAAAAGCAGCTTTAAGCAATGGTCTGAAGTCTGAAGTTCGTTGAAAATGATTCCAGCAAAGCATTTCAAGATTGCAGCAACCAGCTGAGAGACAAAACAGGCTCAACCTTGGTGAAGATGAAGGTGCCGGAATAAAATGTGCATTCAAGTAGAACATGCTGCGTCAAATATTGCATAATATATTTCATGGGATCATCATGGTACGTCTTTTTCACTTGATATGCTCTCATCTCCTCAAAGGTGACCTGATTATCCAAGCTGAGGAGACCATACAAAATAATCAGGAGACCATACAAAATTGAAACAGAAATGGACTCATGACATGAAAGATTCTGTTCCAAAATTCTTCCCAAATCATTTGTGGAGGTCGGCAACTCAGTGCATCGCCTCTGGCGCCAGATCCCATGAGCTACTTATTTCCTGTTTAGTATTGTGTTTTAAAACGGATCGGTAAAAGTATGAAATTTTTTTTAAATTAATTTTTTTTATATATTTTTAGATGTTTTGATATCAAATATAATTTTAAAAGAATAATAATAAAATATTATTTTGATGTATTTTGAGTAGAAAATATTTTGAAGAACAATTATTACTATACTTTCAAATAATTTCAAGATGTATTATAATTATATTCATGCAATGCCAAATTAAAGAATGGAGATTTCATTAAAAAAACACATGAATAGAACATAAACCAGCCGAAGGGATCCAAATAGCCTTCTATACCTGCTCATAGTCTCATTTCAATTCCTGTAGCTGAATCCAAGTTCACAAGTTCCTCTACAGTCCAGCCACAAAATCACAACACTGGCTGCATGACACAGCTCTGTCTAATCAAGTTGACTTCAGTTTGGTTGGTCACAAGCAAAGGGCAATCAGTGAGCAAAAGAAACACAAGAAGAGAACAAACTACTTTTTATCAGCTGCCTGTGCCATAAATGTTCCTCAAAACAATTCCATCAAGTTGAGGCTAATGGCACCAAATGCACGATGTGTTGAAACGTTTTGAATAAGGCTCTAGAATCCCGCTGATCCATATACTAATTGGCCATGGTTCTGCTTGTCTTATTGTGAGAAACAAGGGCCCTTGCGTAAGATTTCTCCATCCATAATCACTCAATTATTGGGTTCGGAAAGTGGTTAAGGGGATGCAAAATGTATAGCTTAATTTAGTATTTATAGGTGGCATTTTGGAAGATGATTCATGCTTTTTAGGGCAAGTTTCGCAAAATGAGGCATTAATGATGGATGGTAGAAGATAAAGGTTGCCTCTTGAGGCACAATTTTTGGCGGATTAAAGGAGCCATTAGGCTGTGAGGACTAAAGAGAGACATAGTGGGTCCGCATTCTCGTAGGGTAAAGAACGATATCATTAAGTTGCTGGCAGACAAGAAAACGCCATTAGAAAGATTAGAAGTTAGCCAACCCTCCTCCGCTGTGCTCATACGACGGTCGCAATACAAAGAACTAATGTTGAAAATACTTGGCAGGCAAGATCTAACATTCATGGATGTTAGTGGCAGTCAATTGTACAGAGAAACTGATTTTCCGGTATACCTTGCCTTGCAAGACCAGTCCGCGGCGTTGAATGCTCAAAACTTTGGTTGACCGACCAGCATAAATGATGTTTCTGCTTTGTGGTCCTCGGAAAGGAACCAGATTGCATCATAACACAATCAGGAAGAATGACTGCCCAGCTTATGATCACTATAAATAAACGTAACTCCAAGCATATAGAAACGAAGGTCAATTATTCAAGAGATTTGACAATTTATTTGTCAAGGAACTATATTCAGATCCTGCAAGCTGTAAAATGCACCGTCACATAGCTGCCAACCATAAGAATCCAAGAGAATCAATCTGCATCCTACCGCTTAGTTTCCATTTACCAAAGAAACAACCTCTAATAAAGTTGCAATGCATGTAAAAGACTTTCAATGAATAAGATATATCAACAGCAGCCCATCTAAATCATGCAGTTGAAGAATTGTGATATCAACCACCATAATTTAAAAAACAAAAAAAAAACAACAGCTGAAAATGTCAGGTATAAACATCAATGATGCATAAGATGCATCTTGATCCTAAAGTCCAAAACTGTGCACAATCCTGGGCATTGAACTCCAGTAGCTAAAAAACAACTTACAAACTTCGCATGTCAAAAGGCCAAGAACACAAAGGGTTCCCTTAGCATAGTAGCTGCTATTCATTAAAGCATTAGAAGCTAATCTGTGTAAGAGTAGCTGCATCTAAAAGGACTAATATTTATTTTTATACAAGAACAAAAGTATAAGACCCTTA